TATTATTAGTATTATTATTATTTGAGGCCGAGGGCAGACCTAGAAGGAGAAAAGTTAAGTCCATTTCCAAACAACATCATCATCATCATCATTATTATCATTATTACATTATATTATATATAGTATGTATTATTATTATTATTATTATTATTATTATTAGCCTCCCTCTCACCTGCGTCTTCCCCGAACCGGGCGCCCCCACAAACTCTGTAATCTCCCCAGTGTACAAGCCGGAGTCTAGAAGCCGGTCCAAACTGAAAAGGAGGCATCAGAAGGGCAAGTGAATGCATGTGTTGGAAGGGGACCCCAAAGACCATCCAACCCTTAGCTTGCAGGAAGACATCAAGGATGGGTGGACAGACAGACAGACAGACAGACGGAAAGAGAGAGAGAGGGAGAGATGGCTAGAGATGAAGGATGGATAGACGGACGGACAGATAGACAGATGAATAGATTGATAGATTAATCATTGTCAGATAGAAACACAAATAGGATGGATGGATAGATGGATGGATAGATTGATAGACAGGTAGATTTAATTCTTGCATATTGGTATATTTTAATTCTGTGCTACTGCTTTTATGTCAAGCCACTTTGAGTCCCCTTTGGGGAGATAAAGCAGAGTATAAATAAAAATAAATATAACAGGCAGATGGACAGATAGATGGATGGTTGAATGGATAGACAGATAGATCGATACATGGATGGATGGACAGACAGACAGGCCAATGGATGGATGGATGGATGGATGGATGGATGGATGGATGGATGGATGGATGAAAAAGGATGAAGACAGACAGACAGACAGGATGGGGAAAGAGGAAGAATGGATGGATACATAGGAAGAAAGTCAGGATGGATGGATGGATGGATAGATAGGATGGATGGATAGGAAAAAAGGAAGGAAGGATAGATAGAATGGATAGATAGAAGATAGACAGAAAGGCTGGCTGGATGGACGGATAAATAGTATTGATGGATGAATAGATAGGATGGATGGATAGATGACAGACGGACGGACAGACAGACAGACAGATAGATAGATAGATAGGAAGATAGATGAGTAGATGGAGGGAGGGAGGGAGGGAGGGAGGGAGGGAGGGAGGGAGGGGTGGTTAGATAGATAGATAGATAGATAGATACAGATAGATAGATAGATAGATAGATAGATAGATAGATAGATAGATAGGATGGATAGATGGGATAGGTAGGTGGGTAGGTAGGTAGGTAGTGTATAAGATAGGTAGATAGGTAGATAGGTAAGTAAGTAGAGAATAAATATGCATTGCCCCGCGGCCCCCGGTCCCTGGTTTTCCGTATCTGGCGTCCCTATCCACCCGATAGCCAAATCGCTGCATAGCTAAATTTAAATGTCTGTATCCAGACAGACAGCCTCGACACGGCCCCCGGGATCGCTCGCTTCGACGAGACATGAGACATGGACGGACGGCCGGCCCGGCCGGGCCGCCGGCCCGCAGCCGACGCCCGCCTCCGCCCGTTCGCTCGGCTCCTCGTGCTCGTCGCGCGATCGATCGCTCGTAGCTCGATCGCTCGAGAGCTCGCCTCGCCGATCGGCTCCCTCGCTGGATGGCTGCGCTGGCGGCTGGATGGGCTGGCTGGCTGGCGGCCACGCTGCGCGGCTGGACTGGAGCTGGATGCCTGGCGCTGACGCCTGGCCTGGATGGCTGCAGCGTCGTAAGCGGAGGACAGGCCCGACCGACCCCCCTGATGGTTCGCCGCTGCCCTCACACGTCAGCGCGCCCGAGCCTGCGCCCCAATGTGCGATGACTCGATAGCCCGACAGCCTAAACGGAGTGCCGACCATGGTCCGGATGGATGGCTGGACAGACAGACAAATGGATGGATGGATGGATGAGATGGATGGATGGATGAATGGATGGACAGACAGCCAGACAAACTGATAGATGGACGACTATACAGACGGACGGACGGACGGACAGACAGACAGACAGACAGATGAATGGACAGACAGACAGATAGATAAACAGACAGATCGACTAACTGATGGATAGCTAGATATAGATAAATGGATGGGTGAGTTGGATGAATAGATAGATATATGAATGGAAGGGTGGATGGATGGATGGACAGACAGATGGATGAATGGATGGATAGATAGATAAATAAATAGATAGATTATAGGGATAGAGATGGATGGGTAGATGGACAGGAGGGATAGATAGACGGATGGACAGACGGATGGGTGGATAGACGAATTGTTTGATGGATTTATGGATTGATTGATGAATGGATGGATAGAACCCTAGCCTTGTAAAGGACCCCAGGGCCCTGGCTTCCCCCTCCTGCTCCTCCGGATCCCTCCCAGCAGAGGCCCCTCTCTCCCTCCCTCCCTTGCCTGTTGATCCCGGTGTTGAGGATGGCGCCGCCCTTCTGGAGCTCCTCGAAGAGGTCGGCCCCATTGGCTGGAAAGGAGGAGAAGCGGGCCAGGAGCAGCCGGCGGGCAGAAGATAGACTCTGGGGAGGAAGCACAAGGGACAGGGAAAACCTTTTGGGGCTCAACCAAGACCCTCAAGAATAACAGGGGCCACAGGAGAGGGCCTTCCTCCCACTTACCTTGAAAGACAAGGAGCACCTTTGGGCCAAGGCCTCCAGGTCCGACGAGACCAGGTCCACCACTACAAGCAAAAGCAGATAGATAGATAGATAGATAGATAGATAGATAGATAGATAGATAGATAGATAGATAATCAGCCGAGAAAGATAGAATAGCATCTATTGTTATCATTATTAGACTCCTAGAGCTGGAAGGAAACTCCAAGGGCCATTCAATCCAACTCTATTCCGGCAGGCAGTGAGGTAGAATTAGTATTACCGGTATATTATTATCTATTGTTGTTTTTGTTATCATCATCATCATCATCATCATCATCATCATCATCATCATCATCATCATCATCACATAGTTGGAAGGGAAGAGTGAATTATTATATTAATATTATCCATTATCATCATCATCATCATCATTTAATTGGGACCTCCAATGACAATTCAGCCCAACCCCTTTCTGCCAGGCTGAATCTACTACTACTACTAATAATAATAATAATCAATTTGCCCCAAGGAAATGGAAAATTATTGTTTCCATTTGATGTTTGGTGGTGTTTTGTCTTATGTCTGTTATAACAGGCTGTGTTTTTTTATTTAATTTTAGTTGTTAAGTTATAATTTGGGTTGTTTATATGTTGGGCTGTTTAAATTTTGTAAGTATGGATGTATTGTTGTTGTATTTGGGCATTGAATATTTGCCTTTTATGTTTGGAATCCGCCCGAAGTCCCTTCAGGGAGATAGAGCGGAAAATAAATAAATAAATTATTATTATTATTATAGATTCAAAGTTGGAAGGGATCCCAAGGGCCATCTAGTCTGACCCCCTTCTGCTATAAAGGAAGATGTAATCATAATAATAATAATAATAACAACAACAACAACAACAACAACAACAACAACAACAACAACAACAACAACAACAACAACAACACATAGAGTTGGAAAGGACCTCCAGCGGCCATCTAGTCTGACCTCACCTTCTCCCAGTCTGGAAGACTGAAACACTATAATATTATTATCCATCATCATCATCATCATCATCATCATCATCATCATCTATATTATTATTATTATACTCCTAAAGTTGMAAAGTAACCTCAAGGGCCATCTAGTCTGACCCCCATTCTGCCATAAAGGAAGATGTAACAACAACAACAACAACAAGACAAAAAGAGTTGGAAAGGATTTCCAAAGGCCATCTAGTCTGATCCCCCCCCCCCTTCTCCCAGTCTGGAAGACTAAAATACTATAATATTATTATCCATTATTAATATTAATATTAATAATAATAATAATATAAGGGTTAAACCCTTGCACCGGCAGGACTGAAAGGCCAACAGGTTGCAGGTTCGAATCCAGTGAGAGCACGGATGAGCTCCCTCTATCAGCTCCAGCTCCCCATGCAGGGACATGAGAAAAGCCTCCCACAAGGATGATAAAACATCCGGGGATCCCCTGCGCAACGTTCTTGCAGATGGCCAATTCTCTCACACCAGAAGCAACTTGCAGTTTCTCAAGTCGCTCCCTACACGAAAAAGAATATATTATCTATCAATGTATTATTATTATTATACTCCTAAAGTTGGAAAGTAACACCAACTTTAGTCTGACCCCCTCTGCCATAAAGGAAGATAGTATCTATATTATTATTATTATTATTATTATTATTATTATTATTATTATTATTATTATTATTATCCTGGAGTTGGAAGGAACCCCCAAAGGCCACCTAGTCTGACCCCATTTTGCCATGAAGGAAGATAATATTATCTATCCATGTATTATAATCCTAAAGTTGGAAGGAAGCCACAAGGGCCATCTAGTCTGATCCCCTTCTGCCATAAAGGTAGAATTATTATTATTATTATTATTATTATTATTATTATTATTATATATTATATATTATTAATAGGCTTCTAGAGTTTGCAGGGCCCCCCAAAGGCCATCTACTCTGACCCCATTCTGCCATAAAGTATCTATCTATATGTTATACTAGAGTTGGGATCCCCAAAGGTCCTCTAGTCTGACCCCCTTCTGCCATAAAGGAAGACAGAATTACTATTATTATTATATTAGCATGATTAGGCTCCTAAAGTTGGAAAAGACCGCCAGAGGCCATCCAGTCTGACCTCATTCTGCTATAAAGGAATCTTTTCTATCTATCTATCTATCTATCTATCTATCTATCTATCTATCTATCTATCTATCTATCATTATTATACTCCTAAAGTTGGAAAGTAACCTTAAAGACCATCTAGTCCGACCCCTATCTGCCATAAAGGAATATTTTCTATCTATCTATCTATCTATCTATCTATCTATCTATTAGGCTCCTAGAGTTGGAAGGGACCCCAAAGGCCATCTAGTCCGACTCCATTCTGCGATAAAGTATCTATCTATGTATTCTTCTAGAGTTGACCCCCTTCTGCCATAAGGGAAGATATTATTATTATTATTATTATTATTGTATTAGTATTATTAGGCTCCTAAGGTTGGAAAAGACCCCCAAAGGCCATATAGTCCGACCACATTCTGCCATAAAGTATCTATGTATGTATTATTCTAGAGTTCACCTCCTTCTGCCATAAAGGGAGATATTATTATTATTATTATTATTATTATTATTATTATTATTATTATTATTATTATATTAGTATTATTAGACTCCTAAAATTGGAAAAGACCCCCAAAGGCCATCTAGTCCGACCCCATTCTGCCATAAAGTATCTATCTATTATACTAGAGTTGACCCCCTTCTGCCATAAAGGAATTTATTATTATTATTATTATTATTATTATTATTATTAGGCTCCTAAAGTTAGAAAATACTCCCAAAGGCCATCAAGTCCGACCCCATTCTGCCATAAAGGAATATTTTCTATCTATTATTATTATTATTATTATTATTATTATTATTATTATTATTATTATGTTCCTAGGGTTGAAAGGGACCCCCAAGGGCCATCTAGTCTGACCCTCTTCTGCCATAAAGATAGAATTACTATTATTATTATTATTAGTAGTAGTAGTAGTAGTAGTAGTAGTAGTATACATTATTATTATTAGGTTCCTTGAGTTGGAAGGGACCCCCAAGGGCCATCTAGTCTGACCCTCTTCRGCCATAAAGATAGAATTARTATWAMTAMTAWTAGRAGTAGTAGTAGTATACATTATTATTATTATTATTAGYTTCCTAGAGTTGGAAGGGACCCCCAAGGGCCATCTAGTCTGACCCTCTTCTGCCATAAAGATAGAATTACTATTATTATTAMTAGTAGTAGTATATATTATTATTAGATTCCTAGAGTTGGAAGGGACCCCCAAGGGCCATCTAGTCTGACCCTCTTCTGCCATAAAGATAGAATTACTATTATTATTATTATTAGTAGTAGTAGTATACATTATTATTATTARTATTAGGTTCCTAGAGTTGGAAGGGACCCCCAAGGGCCATCTAGTCTGACCCTCTTCTGCCATCAAGATATAATTATTATTATTAGTAGTAGTAGTAGTAGTAGTATACATTATTATTATTAGGTTCCTAGAGTTGGAAGGGACCTCCAAGGGCCATCTAGTCTGACCCCCTTCAACCCTAAAGGAAGGCACCATTCGATCCCTCCCGACAGATGCCCGCCCAGCCTCTGCTTGAGCACTGACCTGTTTGGATGCCTTGGTCTCGGAGGAGGGCCACCGCTTCCGGCGTGAGTCCCGGGCACAACCCGGGTCGGAGGATCATGGCCTTATGAAAGAGGCAAAAGCAAGCAAAAGAGGAAGGAAGGAAAGAAGGGGGAAATCAATGCCAAATATTGACATTTCTGGGGGTGGGAGAGGAAAGCAAAAGCATGCAACTCTTGGGCCTCCTTGGAAAGAAGGGCTTGGCAAAGCCAGGAAGGGAACTCCTTGCCCCCATGTTGCAAACTCCCTTTGCAGGAAAAAGAAAAAGAAGTTTCCTTTCCCAGGCTGCAGCTCTCGGTCGCCTCCTTCCATCCCTAGAAGGGAAAGAGGTGGGCTTTGGCGCCCTCTCCTGGCCAGGCACGGGATTGCGGGAGGGAGCCACATTGAGAAATTCTGCTGTTGATTATATTATATTATATTATATTATATTATATTATATTATATTATATTATATTATATTATATTATATTATATTATATTATATTATATTATATTATATTATATTATATTATATTATATTATATTATATTATATTATATTATATTATATTATATTATATTATATTATATTATATTATATTATATTATATTATATTATATTATATTATATTATATTATATTATATTATATTATATTATATTATTAGTGCTCCATGAAGTCATTCCGGCCACATGACCTTGGAGGTGTCTATGGACAATGCCAGCTCTTCGGCTTAGAAATGAAGATGAGCACAAACCTCCCAGACTGGACTTAATGTCAGGGAGAAACCTTTACCTTTATTTATATTATATTAATAATATTATTAGTATTACATTATATTTGATATATTATATAACTATTTTTTCTTTTTGTTACATATATATATATATATATCCTTACTACTATTATAGAGAGTCCAATATCGTGAAATCTTATAGTCCCTAAGTCATGAAATGGAGTTCATGGGGCTTACGAAAAGAGTTCTAGAAAGTTTCCAAAAGTTCTCAAAAGTTGGCAAAAGTTGATCTAAAGTTGTAAGAATCCATGGGGCATGTTGAGAAAGGGCCCCGGAGTCCTTTGAGTCCTTATGGAAACGACTGCCAGAGCTGGAGGTCGAGATCCATGTTGAAAAATGAAGAAAACTACAGATCCCTTCTGATCAAGGACCAAAATGGCCCGCCAACATCTTGGGGATCCCAAGGGGTGACCGCAACAGGTTCCCCAAAACGGCAGGTTCTCTCGGCATTGACAAAATGGTGGCAGCAATGCAGTGTCACCAGGGAGCCAGCTGGGCTCCATGTTGAGTTTTTGGGGGCAAAAACGGTTATTCCCAGGGTGGAGGGGTCAGTGGAGTGAAAGTGAGATAGCCATTAGTCTTAGAATTCTCCCAAGAGAAGAATGGCACTGATTTTGAAATGATCCTTTGACTCGCGGATATGGGGGCCCAATGGGTTTCCGTATCCGCGGTTCAGAGAAGCGCAGTTTCAGCCTCCCTGGGACGTGAAAATCGCATCCCAGGCAGGCCGGCAGCCATCTGCAGCCTGGGAAAGGAAAGATTTATGCAGAGAAGAGTTTGGAGGCAGTAATGACACAAAGTAACACCAAGAAGAGAAAAAGTTACAATTAATGGATACTTTATTGGAGGGGTTGTTACAATGTTAGGAAGGGGAAGAAAGTGAAGCAATAAGGAGGCTTCTTGGTTGTAGTTGCTGCTGTGGCCACGTTCCATGGAAGTTGGCCCAAATGGGGCAATAGAGAACTGAGGATCAGCTTGAAAGCAGGGAGTTCTGGGTTCGACCTTATGTGTGCCAAGTTGGGTCCAATTCCATCTTTGGTGGAGTTCAGAGTGCTCATTGGTTGCAGAGTCAGAAACACTGGGATGTCTGTGGTGGAGGAAACACATGACATCTAGGATGGAATTGTACCCAAATGGAAGCCTTGACATGGGTGGTGGGCAGTGTGATGTTGGTGGAGGACATTATCAGGGCTCTTGGACATATTCATGGAACTCACTGTAATCTGCAATGCCATTGGTGTCTCCTGAGTGGTGGAAGCTAGAGCTATTTGTGGAGGGAGGAGCTTCTCTGGGTAAGAGGACACCCCGGCCACACACACACACACATACATATTTTCACTTTTATTATGTGTGTAAACAGATAGATAGATCACTATTATTACTAGTCCCAGCATCCCTCGATGACAACAATAATATATTATTATGTCCCATATTTTGCAGCCCAAATATAAAATATTATATTATTATAAATATTTGATTATGTCCCATCTTTTGCAGCCCAAATATAAAATATTATGATATTATAAATATTGTTATTATGTTCCATCTTTTGCAGCCCAAATATAAAATAATATTATATTATTATAAATATTATTATTATGTCCCATCTTTTGCAGCCCAAATATTATAATAATAATAATAATAATAATAATAATAATAATAATAATCAACCTCATCCCCGAGTCCAGGAGGGAATGCTGGGTCTTACAGTCCAAATTATATTGTTGACTTCACAACCTCTGAGGATGCCTGCCATAGATGCAGGCGAAACGTCAGAAGAGAATGCTTCTGGAACATGGCCAGACAGCCTGGAAAAATTGCAACAACCCTTTGTTGTTGTCGTTGTTGTTAGTCCCAGCATCCCTAGCCATACTTGCACTCCAAAAAATCTATAGTTATTATTATGATTATTGCTAATGATATTAATACTATTACTAATAATGATAATAATACTAATATAAGTCCCATCATCCCTATCTGTGAAGTGTGTCCTATTGGGTTCCAGCCATCTCTGGAAGTGGCTGGACGTTTCCTGAACTTGTTGCAGCTGTTCCTCCAAAGCATCAAATGTCTTTCCTAAAATAGAGGCCGAGGCATGTGTCTCTGCGCTTTCTCCGTTCCCCATTGATTTCCCCATTGAGACCAAGCCTGTGGATTCTGGGAGGTGGGATTCCTCGAATTCCTTTGCAGGCGCGTTTAAAAGCCCGTCTCCTCTTATCTGAGCCTAAAAATATAGGGAGAGAGAGAGAGATACAGCATCTCTCTGGAGCCTTCTTTGCCGAGAGAAAAACACGCAGGGGAAATATTATTAGACGTATTGATTGGTTTTATTAATTGATCTTAGTTTTAATTGGCAGATCCATCCAAAGGAAAGAATTCCAGGACTCGGAACGAAAGCGCGGAAGGTACGTTTAAACTGAGGAATGCAAAAATAATATAATATAATATTAATATTATTATAATAAATATTAATATAATACTAATCTAATATAATTTATATATATATATATATATATATATATATATATATATGTCTCATACAGTGTGTGTGTGCATATATATATATATATCTCCAGTAATATAAGTCTCATACAATGTGTGTGTGCATATATATATATATGAATTTATATAGACAATTATATATATATATAGTGAGAGAGAGAGTAGTAGAAGTCTCATCATTCAATTTGCACATATATAATAAGTATTATAGATCTGAATTTTTATATATATTACTAGCTTGGGTCCCCAGCATTGCCTGCGTTACATTTCAAAAAGTCAATTTATTAATTGTTAAGGTTGTGGGTGAACTACAACTCCCATCATGCCAGGTTAACCCCCTGAAACTCCATCAATACGTAAAAGTTTGTCATGTTGGACAAGATTGCTCTAGATGCTTCATTGGTGGGGTTCAGTGTACTCTCTGGCTGCAGGGTGAACTACAACTCCCACCATGGTGAGGCAGTCCCCTCCAACCCTTCCAGTAGGTTGAGTTAGTCATGGGGGTTCTCTGTACCCGATATGCTCAAACTGGAATACTGGTGGGTTTTGAGGGGAATTGGCTTGTACTTTTTGGAGTTGTAGGTCCTGGGATGTATAGTTCACCTGCAATCAAGGAGCTCTCTGAACTCCACCAGAGATGGAACTGGACCAAACTTGGCACACAGAGCCACCATGATGAAAAAAAGGTACTGGAGGTTTTTGGGGAAAATGCATCTTGATTTGGGGGAGTTGTAGTTCACCTACATCCAGAGTGCACCATGAACTCAAACAATGATGGATCTGGACCAAACTTGGCATGCATACCCAATATGCCCAAATTGGAATACTGGTAGGTTTTGAGGGGAATTAGCCTGGACTTTTTGGAGTTGTAGGTCCTGGGATGTATAGTTCACCTGCAATCAAGGAGCACTCTGAAATCCACCAAAGAGGGAATTGGACCAAACTTGGCACACAGAGCCCCCAGGACCAGCACAAAATACTGGAGGTCTTTGGGGAAAATTCACCTTCATTTGGGGGAGTTGTAGTTCTATATATATATGAAATAGTAACATATATATAAATATATATATATATATTCAATAATGTATATGCGTGTATGCGTATATGTATATATGTATACATATATTCAATAATGTATATATATTTGTGTGTATGTGTATATGTATATATGTGTGTGTATATATATATATATTGAATGATATATATGTATGTATATATTTATATATGGATACATATATATATTCAATAATGTGTATATATATATATATAATTATGTGTATATGTATATATATGTGTGTATATATATATATTCAATAATATTGGATAATGTATATATGTGTGTGTTTATGTATATATGTATATATATATGTGTGTGTGTGTATATAAATTCAATGATGTATATGTGTGTATTTGTATGTGAGTCGCCGATAAGCTGAGAAAGGTGGTATACAAGTATAGTAAATAAATAAATATATGTATATGTACACACACATACATATATATATTCAATAACGTATATGTGTTTGTATATGTATATATGTATACATATATACACATATACATATAAAAATGTATTATCCAGTCTGTAATACTGGCTTTACTGTAACTCACTTGCAACATCAATTCACTATAACCAAACTGATCGAGGCAACCTTTTGCAAACTTCCTTATTACGATATGTCTCACCTTCATCAATCCGATATAGCAGTCCAGTGCGGACGGACGTGTCCCCTTCCCTTTGTGCAGATGGAGGACCCGGTGCAGCTGAAGGAAGAAGGCAACAGGCACTTTGCAGCCAACGACCTGGAGAGCGCCATCCGCTGCTATTCCCAGGCTCTAAAGCGTGGGCCAGATAAGGCCCTCCAAGGCGTCCTCTTCCGCAACCGGGCCGCCTGCTTCCTCAAAAAGGTAAGCCGGCCCATAAGGGAGCCTGCAGGTCCCCCTCCATTCACCCCTCTTGGGATGCATCTCTAGCTGGGAGGAGTTATGGGGATGCTGGGCTTTGTAGTCCAACCCAGTAACTCATTACAATTT